AAAAAACTTTTTCATTCCGCGTCGCCCTATCAAGCTCTCGGTGGATCCGCTCCTCTGCTATCAACGAGAGGAACGTCTGTACTTCCTCAACAGACAACGAAACAGCCACTTTTTGGTTGCGTTCGATCATTCGCTGGCTGTGCTGATTTTAATCTAATGGTTCTGTTGTGTTTGTGGTGCAATTTCAGTGACGCAGGTAGTGACGATTCTCTCCGGCCAATCCGTGATCTGCAGAGTTTACACGTCACATTTGGGTAACGGTACGGTTCACTTGGAACCCCAACCGAGGTGGTACTGAAAAAAGTAGCAGGTACCAGGTACTGTACCCAGTGGAAAACCCCCAAAAAGTGAACCGTACCGTGCCGTACCATGCAGTGGAAAAGCGCCATAAGTTGGTGGGTCTTGGACAGAATATACAACAATGTGGACTAGACCAGTGTATCCCAACCGAGTGTCTCTACTGAGCTGATGGGTTGAATCAGGTGTGTTTGATTAGGAAGAGTTCATAAATGTGCAGTGTTGGTGGGCCTCCAGGAACACGGTTGGGGAACACTTTACTAGACTTTATGCTGATAATCAAATTCCGAACAAGCTCCAAAAGTAAGCCATGAGTGTATAGACAATAGGAGTTAGTTAAGTCAGCTAATTAAAACACATGTCTTTGAATCCTTTACGTTCAGATATGTCCACTGTCATGCCACAACACAGTGTTCACATGCCAATCTGCACAACTAACCACTTCACCCTCCTTCCCCTCTTTACACAGGCAGTGGGCTGATGGGCAACTCCTCAGCCTCCTTCATGGGGACGTTCCTGGCCAGCAGTCTAGGCTCCCCTCCCTCCCACCCACCACACCCCCAAGAATTTATGTGCACAACATACACACACACAGAACATTGGAGGAAGAGCAAGCTAAATGGTCAACAGCATCGCAGCTGTCGTGTAAAAGCCAATGTGGCTTTTCTCACCATGGCTTATACTAGCTTGGCCTGAGCCACACCCAGCCCTCAGCCTGCCAAATCAAAAGCCGGCCTTCTCCAGCACTGGCTCCAGATCCCTACAGATGACAGACTACTACAACTCCGTAGAGAGAGCAATGTAGAGAGACCGAAAGAGTAGGAGATGCCCAGGCATGCCCAATGCCACTCGGCACTTATTCACACTTAAATCCCCTCCGGGCCACGTCCAAATGTGCCAAACAGTCTTAAACCATTAGGAGTTCATCTGTGTGTTGTTTGTGTAATCCACAAACTCAGCCTCTCTGAGCATTGCACAATCCCCATGCTGGTTATCACTATACCTCAGTCTATTTTCACTCTCTTCTCTCCATACCCTGCTTCTGGTATGGTGGAAGACAACCCTGTTCCATTTGAAGTTCACGCTACGATGAGGTGTGTGGAGATGACTTATCTTTTTGAGCCCATCAATCAGCATAAAGTCAGGTCCATTTTGAAGATATTTCTGGTCAAGAACCACCAATAGGTAAAGTTCAGTTTTGAGATTTAGGAACAGGTAAATGATACCATGCACCTCACAAACCAAGGCGAATACTGAAACTTGTTCTTTCTTGCTTGCCTTAATACAGAAGCCTGGTTGGCAGACCGATTAAAGCCTGTGAACCCTGACTCCAGGAAATTGCACAAAGCCAGCCAGTCAGAATGCAATTTTTTTATGTGCAATATGCATCAGATGGTCCGTGGGTGTTCCATCTAAGGATAGGACTAGTAGAGGACTAACTCACGGATAGTCAAGGGAGGACTACCCAAAAATTGCTCAATGTGCATCACGCAATGTGACAAAATGTGCACTACCTTTCAGGCCATGAAGAGATGAAAACCCAGAGATGTTGGTTTGTTCCTTTGGCCATTGGCACATTGATCATTTTCCTAAAGAAGCTGGACAGTTTTAATAAGAATGATGATAATGGTTACGTTACTAAGTAATAAGGCTGATTATGAGTGGGATTATGATAGCAAGCTGTTATCTGTATTGCAGTTTAATTGTGCAGAACGTGGTGTGAAATTGATTGAATCCTGGCTTGCCATCAGCATCATTCAGCTCTCTCCTCTTTAAGATAATTGCAAATTGTCTTTTCTTCAGTTTGCATAAAAAAGCAAGTGATCAAAATGGGAAGCACAATTGCCCAGCCTATTCTCTGCACCCTGTGGGACGGAGTCTCCCACCAGCAGCAGCATAAGTGGATCTGCAAGAGTACTTTGAGATATCCTAAAATTCCTTATGCCTCAGCGTCTGTGAACAGTTTATTATGGCACTATCGTGAACGTAACATATTTCTGAATATATTGTGTTTTTTATAAAGTCTCCACATCTCATTCATTGTGACATCTGATATTATCGTTTATGGAAAAATATCAAGAATACCAGTATCTGTTGCCACTACTATACATAACTCACCCATATTTGAAATGCACCTGTCTGCAAATAGCATGCAGTGGTGTGTTATTGTCCTAAAATTTTCTAAATCAGGATTTTTTTTCCCCAGTATAAATTTACCTGACAAGCAAATTGAATATAATTTGTTTTTCATAGAATATATCTTTTGAGTTTGTTCAAGCATATAACAAAATGTAAATATGAAAAAATGCCAATTTGCAGCAACTCCTAAATCAAAGTTTCAAAACCAGTCTTAAGTCGCTGGGGTATATTTGTAGCAATAGCCAAAAATACATTGTATGGGTCAAAATTATTGATTTTTCTTTTATGCCAAAAATCAGTAGGATGTTAAGTAAAGATCATGTTCCATGAAGATATTTTGTAAATTTCCTACTGTAAATATATTAAAACTTAATTTTTGATTAGTAATATACATTGCTAAGAACTTCATTTGGACAACTTTAAAGGCAATTTTCTCAATATTTTGATTTTTTTTGCACCCTCAGATTCCAGATTTTCAAATAGTTGTATCTCGGCCAAATATTGTCCTATTAAAAAAAATTGACCCTTATGACTGGTTTTGTGGTCCAGGGTCACAAATACATTTTACATTAAAATGCATTATATTAACTGTTTTAAATAGTATTGCCACCTCGCATTTCCAGTGTAGCTATGTTGATTATAATTATAAAGTTTTTGTTGCTCTTGTTGCCTAATGTTAGCCGTTCTTGGTTCAAAACCCTTTTGAGGCCATCATGATTTTTTTTTTTTGGGGCACAAAATCACCTTTTCCATGGTGGAACAGTTGCAGATTGGCCACCGTGGTGGTGGAAGAAGGGCTTCTGTCTCTTTATAGCCCTCATGCATCACTTGTTTCATTTCTCTCAATCCAATCATGTCTTTTCTCTGTCTGTAGAATGCAAGCTGTCCTCTCCTCCCCCTCCTCCATTGCCAGGCTCCATCACTTCCTTTCAATTAGCAGTCCTGATGAGTACTATTCACCTCCTCCTATCATCCTCTGTCTTTCTTCTCCACCCTCTGCCATTTTTGTACTGCTCTGTCACTTCTTCTCAATTTGGAATCTTGACAGGCAGCTTTATCTGCCCCTCTCTGTCTCTCCTTAAACAATTTACTCTGGGCTATTTACAGATGCATGCTTGTATGCGCTGTCATGAGCAGACACAGGCAGAACGATTGGCTGTCCATGTGAACAGGAAGATTGAGAGATAGGATTAGCAGGAATGTGCAAATTTTGTTCAGTTAGCACTTGTGGAAGTTCCAGCTCTCTTCAAAGAATCTGCCTGTGTAATAACAACTTCATTGTCTGGGAATTAGCTTATACAATAAACTGGTTTGAGCAAAAAATGACTCTTCTTTAATTCATGAGATGAAATTTGAAAGAAATTTTACACAACCCACAAGCTGTTGAAATGAAATTTGAATTGGAATGACAGGAAGAGGGATTCAGTGAATTGTAACTGAAACAAATTCAGCAAAATCACAAAGTTCAACACTAAATGTGACCCTGGACCACAAAACCAGTCTTAAGTCGCTTGGGTATATTTTTAGCAATAGCCAAAAAAACATTGTATGGGTCAAAATTATCGATTTTTCTTTTATGCCAAAAATCATTAGGATATTAAGTAAAGATCATGTTCCATGAAGATATTTTGTAAATTTCCTACCATAACTATATCAAAACTTAATTGTTGATTAGTCATATGCATTACTAAGAACTTCATTTGGACAACTTTAAAGGCGATTTTCTCAGTATTTTGATTTTTTTGCACCCTCAGACTCTCAAATAGTTGTATCTCGGCCAAATATTGTAATATCCTAACAAACCATACATCAACGGAAAGCGTATTTATTCAGCTTTCAGATGATGTATAAATCTCAATTTTTTTAAAAATTTACCCTTATTACTGGTTTTGTGGTCCAGGGTCACAAATAATTACGGAAGACAGTAGAACCATTCAGCATTATAAATGTCTACCACATTGTTTTCAGATAACTTCTGAAATTCTGACATCAAAATGATATATTTTAGGATATAATATATTATTTTACCATGAGCTATAAAATGTAAATTAACATATTAAATATATTTAAATATATCTGAAATACATAGATTTTTTATTATTTGTATAATTTCAAAAATGTATAATTATTATTTATAATAATGTTTATAGGTAATTTATGAGTAATTCAAACTGTAAAATAAATGTAATATTTATAGTAGTTCCAAATTGTTTAAACTACTTCAGCTCCAAAGAGAAAGGAAAACTTGAAATCACATCATATTAACCCTTTAAACTACTTTAGATTCCAATTTTAATTCTGAATCCTGAATTCAATCCAACAGCCACTGGATATCACCACTATATCTGTGAGCAAGGCATTTAATCTCAGGTTGCTCCAGGGGGACTGAACCTGTAATAAATGCATGGCACAGTTTGTGGCAAAACCATTTGAAAGTTATGGAAACAAATATCATCGGCATGTTTTCCAAATGTATTATGGTCCTGTTATATTTGTCATGTATTGTTTATGTGCATTGAGCCTCTAGCTCTTCTTTTTTTTTTTGCTGATTTGGAGAAAAGCCTTCAAAGTTTCTCCTGTAAATATCATCCTACCAGTATTATTATCAGTAGCATCCTACTCAGATAGAATAACAGTTCTGCATGTGCTGAGTGAGCTGGTGTCAATCATTTGGCAGCTGCCGTCTCTTTGAGTGCAACAGTATTAGTAGCATTAATGTCAGCACTAAGCAGTAAAACCTGCCTCATCTAGCCTGCTGGCACAGCACCTTCCCTTGTCCTGGCCAGATTAACGGCTGAATGTGCAGTGCAATGCCCAGCGGTGCCCGCTCACCTGCCCAAAGAGGCCTCTGCTTAGCACTGAGCAACCAGCCACTATCGGGGGCATCCAGACGTCACTGTGAAACGGGATTACTCAGCCAAGTGTCACGCATAGAAATACACAAAGACACCAGAGAAACAGACGAAGACTGATTTGCATAATGCAAGCTTGTATCACACTTTTGCATAAGCCACAGAAGTAATGTATTGTTCAAAGGGAGCCTTATTTTTTCCATTCTTAAATGAATTGGCATAAAGGAATGTGCTTATTAATGCTGACAGGCAGTCAGAATAAAAATGGAGCTTGCAATTATCACCTTCCTCTGTGCGTCTAAAGAAAATCGAGCCTCTATGTGACTAGATGAGTTTTTATATTCTTCAATCTGAACGGCATCATAGGGATAGTTCATGCAAAAAATTAAAAAACCGAAAAAAGACGCATTTTTCAAATTGCAGCATTTTGTCCAAGCAATAATAAAAGGACACATTTAATTTATAATTTGTCTTAAATCTCATTTTGTTAAAAAAAATTATAATAATCGTGAATCGAATCGAACCGTGAAATCAAAATCGTGAATCGAATCG